AGCCTTTTCAGTAAGTATGTCTAGGACAAGTGAGTGTCACTATGGCAGAGGAGGGTGAGAAGAATGGGGAGGGAATGAAACTGGACCCTTCTCTCACACTTTGCACAAAACAGACTCCAAAAAGCTTAAAAACTAAATATAAACATAAAACCATAATAACTTAGAAGACATCAATGGACATTAATGACCTTTAGGTAGCAAAGGTTTTACACTAAAGTTTTCAAATAAGATACAAAAAGAAATAGTCATAAGGTAACACCGATAAATTCAATTTCTATTTAGCAAGACACAATAAAACAGTTTATAAAGACAAGCCATGGACTTCTTCTAACACATGCAGTGCACAAAGATGCAGTTTATGAGATTTTATGAGAAATGTTTTAACTCAATAAGAAAAAAGCAACAAATCAAAAGAAAAATGGAAAAAAATAACTGAACAAGATTTTTTTAAAGAGGAAATCCAGGGGCCTGGGTGGCTCAGTTGGTTTAAGCATCCAACTCTTGATTTCAGCTCAGCTCATGATCTCAAGGTTTGTGAGTCCGAGCCCCATGTCAGGCTCTGTGTGCAGAGCCTGCTTGGGATTCTCTCTCCCTCTCTCTGCCCCTCCCCCACTTATGCGCATTCTCTCTCTCTCTCTCTCTCTCTCTTTCTCTCTGTCTCAAAATAAATAAACTTAAAAAAAGGGGGGAATCCAAATGGCTAAGAAGCATATGATGAGGTTCAACCTCATGAATAATCAGAAAAATGCAAATTAAAAAATTTTAAACACTGAATCCCAACTGATTGGCACAAATTTACAATTTTAACAATTTCAAGTGAAGAGGCTGTGAAACAATGGGACTTCATTCTCTGCAAGTGTGAATGTGAATTAGTGCCAATCTTGGAATAGTTTGGCATTATTGAGAAGTTTAAAGTATACGTAGCCCATGAACCAGAATACTCTCTCCTTGATATATAGAGAACCTCTTGCAGACATACGACAGGAGACATGCACAGTAGCGCTGATACAGCCCTAAAGTGAAAACAACTTAAATGTCCATCAAGAATAGACTAAATGCTGCATTATATATTCTTAAAATGGTACACCATACATTAGTGAAAATGAACAAAATACAGTAATCTGTAACAGCATGGAAAAATTTTGTAAGCAGTGTTGAGCAAAACAGGTAGGGCACAGAAACTATAGATAGTATAATATAATTTATGTAATTTTTTTTAAATAGGCACCAATAATTCTCTATCAGTCTGGGTGGTAAACCTACAGAGAAAAACATGGAAATTGTTACCACAAAACTAAAGCTGGTGGTTAACACTGGGGGGTGAACAAGAGTGTTCCAAATGGGAGGAGAAAGGGTGGGAGTGGGGATAACTACTGAGGGCTGACAACATTCTATTTTATGATCTGGGTACTGCTGACACAGGTTTAACTTTATAATTATTCATCACATCATAACAGATTTCCATTTGCTCATTGCTGTCTTTCAGTCTGTCATGGTGGTTTTGACTTGCAATTTATTGTTGTCAATTTATTGTTGCTGGGCCAGTGCAGATCTTCAGGTGTGCAGGCTGCACTCATTCACCAGACCCTCCTTGCTCTGCAAACACAAACAGGGCAGAAGGCATGTGTCTGCAGTCGCTGAGCTGGAACCCGGGAGGGAGCGGGTGGTCAAGACTCCATCCCTGGGGTATAAGTAGGGAGGAGGAGGTGGGACCAATTGGGAATTAAGGCCCCAAGCTTCCCTTGCATGTTCCATTATCCTATTAGACTTACTTACAAACCACAAATTTAAAGGTAAATTACTTAGAATTTCAAGACAATGACCAGAGAGCATTAATCCCCAAGAGCTGATCCCTTTCTAAGGGGCAGAGTCCTGTGTGACTTCAGGGTCACATGCCCATGAAGCCAGCCCAGTACCATAGGTGTATGTTTTCTGCACACCTCTACATGTATTTTATATTGTGTATGTGAATGTGTGAATGGAGGAAATGAAACAAAACAAAACAAAACAAAACAAAACAAAACAGATGATGCTTCTATTTCTTGCTTCAAGTCCCTGAGCAGTTCAGGTCTGAACAGAAGGGAAATAAGAAAATCTGAAGTGATCATTGCATTAACATTTTAAACTGTCTACCTGACTGAAGCTTATTTACCAAAATGTTCACATATCTGAATGTAGACCTGCATGTTTAAAGGATGTTTTATAAATTAAATATTAAATATTTATAATTAAGATCATGGGCAATTAATTCCACAGCATGCTAAGCAATTTAACATAATTGTCCTTGGCTATAATCTAAATGCCAAGAACCTCCTACTCTGATTCTAGTTCCTTCCATTCCACTCACTTTAACTGAAAAAAATGTAATGTTTGGTGGGGCAATTTATGAAATCTAATAAAAGTGGATATGAATAGATTAAGTTATCTAATATAGGACAATTCAGATTCCAGAAGGGAAATGGGATGGAAGGAAACCAAGTAGGTGCTCTACCTTTGATACCCTCATTTAATTCTCTCGCAGTAATACTGAAAGGCATATACAAATGTCTCATTCCTACAAAAGAACACTGAGGTTAGGAAGGCTAAATACCCTTACCAAGGTCATCCATCTAATAAGTGGATATATATATTCCAATCAGGCAACAAACTTCTATGACCTTTCTTTGCTATCTTTTTTTCTTCTTTTCTTTAAACATTTACTGTCCATTACTATGTGCCAAGCATGATCACAAAAATGAGTGATCAACATCCACTGGAGGCCAAAATCCTAATCCTGTGTTCTCAGTATGGTAAAGTGTGGCTATGAGGCCTTGAAATGTGGCTAGTATGAATTGTGATGTGCTGTATGTTAAATTATATGCCAGATTTTAAAGAATTTGTAAGGAAAAAAAAGGAATGTAAAATATGATACTAATAATTTTTCATATTGATTACGTATTAAATGATGAATTTTATATATATTAGGTTAAATTCAGTGTGTTTAAAATTTATTTCATCTATGTGCTCGCTTCGGCAGCACATATACTAAAATTTATTTCATCTGTTTCTCTTGTTTTATGTGACTACTAGCAAATCTATTTTTTTTAAGTTTATTTTTTAGAGATGGGGAGGACACAGAGAGAGGGAGAGAGAGAATCTCAAGTGGAGAGCCTGACACAGGACCTGAACTCACAAACTGTGAGATCATGACCTGAGTCAAAATCAAGAGTTGAATGCTTAACCAACTGAGTCACCCTGGCACTTCATCCAGAAAATTTAAATTATAAGTACATCTCGCATTTTATTTTTATTAACATCATTGGTCTAATGATCCCCTTTCAATCTTGCTTCAGGGTATATAAATGAATTACATGCTTATAATGCTTAAATGTTTTATTTCAAGATTATTTTGCATAAGAAATATCTGTAATCCACTGTAGAATGTATCTTCCTGCTACCATCAATATTTATAGATGATATATTCAATCTCTTGAAATTTCAGAAATTAGCTTAGCTAAAATTAGCTAAACCCTGTTGGGTTTTCCTCTTCCTGACAGAGTATATAAATGAACAGAGAAATACCTGGATTCAAGACACAGGTATTCTTGTAATGGAATAAAAAGAGCTTTTTCACATTCCTCAAATATCTCTTAGAGATTTGCTGAACACTTCTAATATCATAGGATGCATTTTTCCCAGCATGAAAATTTTTGATTGTTTAGAATTTGGTACATTAAAAATACTTTTTACATTTTCCTAAAAATGATGAGGCAAGGTGAATTTTCAGACAAAACACTTGTGTTTTTACAAAATGTCTATTAATGTGAGCAGTGGGGAATAATGCAAAAAAGCTATATTTCCTAATATATTATTATATACTTAAACAGCAATAGAAACTAATTTATAATTCAATATAAAAGCTAACACTCTAAAATTATATATGATGTAACAATATTATTGATAAACTTGGAAGACTAATTGAAAATGTAATTCTAAAAAATATGTACAGTAGTGAGAAACACCGTATTTAGACCACATAGTATCAGATGGAGAAAAACTCAAAAATTACACAAATTTACACTACCCTTTAGTTCGTAACATTTTATGTACTACAAAATACTCACTTTATAAGCCCATCCTATATTGAATTACTCTGTTTTGTCATGAAATATAGCCTTAAAATATCCCAATTTTAGGGGCACCTGGTTGGCTCACTCAGTAGAGCATGCTACTCTTGGTCGCAAGTTCAAGCCCCACTTTGGGTGTATAGCTTACTTAAAAAAATAAAAGCTTTGAACAAAATATCCCAATTTTATATTTAAAGAGCAAAATATTCATAGATACATATAAGACAATATGAACCTATATAAAGCAATACAATAAAATGGAATGAGAACTGGGAATCAGAAAACTAATACTTGAAATTTGAGCTACTTACATACTTTTTAATATTTAGTTTCTTCACACCAGTGATGGGAAAAGTTAGATGAACTTTGCCTGAAAATCCCATGAGAATCAAGAATACTTGATTCTTACCAGTAAGGAGTGATACGAATTATGTTATTAGTGTATTAATAGAAAGAAACTTACCAGTAAGGAGTGATACGAATTATGTTATTAGTGTATTAAAAACAAATTTATTCTATTACTTTGTTAAAACATCTATCTTTCAATTAATGTTTTTAGTAGCCATTGTGGCAAAAAAATAATAAAAATATTTTAAATATCTTAAATTTCAGCTTTTTTCAAATAACTTTTGGAATTTCCTAGGTATAAAATAATAACTGACATTGTATCAACAAATGAAAGTATTTATGAGAAGGTACTTGATTATTACAGTAGAATTGGGGGAGATAGGGGATCACAGAATCAAAAAGGTAGGTAGCAATGGTCTAAATGTACACAAGGCCAGCATCGTCTCCCTCTCACTGCACCTGTTGTAATATAGTGGATTCCTGAATAAAACTAAATCTGCTTAGAATGTATAGAATTTATTATTTGGAGGCAAGAACAAGCATCTTATGAAAGGCAGCAAAAAGGGAGCCAAGAAGAAAGTGGTTGATCCATTTTCTAAGAAAGATTGGTATAATATGAAAGCACCAGATACGTTCAATATAAGAAATATTAGGAAAACACGAGTTACCAGAACACATGGAACCAAAATCGCATCTGATGTCCTCAAGGGTCATGTTTTTAAAGTGAGCCTTGCTGATCTGCAGAATAAGGAAGTTGTATTTAGAAAATTGAAGCTAATTACTGAGGATGTCCAGGGCATCTTTCCATCTTTCCATGTCATCTTACCCATGACAAAATGTGCTTCATGGTCAAAAAAGTGCAGAACATGATTGAAGCTCATGCTGATGTCAAGACTACCGATGGTTATTTGCTTCATCTGTTTGTGTTGGTTTTACTTAAAAAACAACAACAACAACAACAACAACAACAATCAGATTTGGAAGACCTCTTATGCTCAGCACCAACAGGTCCTCCAGATTCAGAAAAAGATGACAAAAATCATGACCCAAAAAGTGGAGACAAATGACTTGAAAGAATTGGTCAATAAATTGATTCTAGACAGCATCAGAAAAGACATTGTAAAGAGTCGTCACTTTATTTATCCACCCCATGATATCTTTGTGAGAAAAGTAAAAATGCTGAAGACGACCAAGTCTGAATTGGGAAAGCTCATGGAACTTCACAGTGAAGGTAGTAGTTCTGGAAACACTACTGGGGATGAGAACGGTGCTCACGTTGAATGAGCTGATGGATCTGAGCCACCAGTCCAAGTATCTGTTTAAAATTCAGACATTTAATGGTGACAAATAAAAAAAAAAATCTTATTTGTGATGTTTAAAAAAAATAAGGTATTATTTTAAAAATTCTATTTTCCACTTCCAAAATGAGTTGAAAATACCTCTCTACCCTCCTCCCTTCCTATCTTCAGCCGGCTTCACATACTGTCAAAAGGCAGGAACAAAGAACATGGTTTTTCCTCCTCTAGTACTGAGTGCTGTGGACTGAATTCTGTTCCTCCCAAATTCTTACGTTGAAAGCCTACCCCTCAAGGTGATGGTAGTTGGGAGATGGAGCCTTTGGCAATTAAGTTTAGATGAGGTCATGAGGGTGGGACTCTCATGCATGATGCCCCTATAAGAAGAGACCAGAGAGCTCTCTCTCTCTCTCTGAATGTGCCCTCTCAGAAAAGGCCATGTGACAAAACAGGTAGAAGGCAGCTGTTTGCAAGCCAGGAAGACAGCTCTCATCAGAACCCAACCACTTAGGTACCCTGATCTCAGGCTTTCAGCCTCCAGAACTGTGAGAAAATATTTCTGTTGTTTAAGCCACTCAGTCTATGGCATTTTGTTTTAGCAACCCAAGCTGACTAGTACCTGAATAACCTCTGATGAGCAAGTGAAGAAGCTGGAGAGTTAGCTGCACTGGTACACGGGGAAGAATTCCCTTGTATTCATTGAGAGAAAATGAAATGGATGCTTATATCCAATTAATGAAAGAAAACTATTACATTAGACTTAACTAGAAAAAAAATTTAAGTATTGCCACTAGGTTTTAAAAAGATGCAAAGGAACAAAATTGAAAGGAAATAAACTAAGTTGTTAAGCACAGCTGTGAGAGGGTGGTGGCATTAATTGACAAGTTCTGGGGCGCCTGGGTGGCGCAGTCGGTTAAGCGTCCGACTTCAGCCAGGTCACGATCTCGCGGTCCGTGAGTTCGAGTCCCGCGCGGTCCGTGAGTTCGAGTCCCGCGCGGTCCGTGAGTTCGAGTCCCGCGCGGTCCGTGAGTTCGAGTCCCGCGTCGGGCTCTGGGCTGATGGCTCAGAGCCTGGAGCCTGTTTCCGATTCTGTGTCTCCCTCTCTCTCTGCCCCTCGCCCGTTCATGCTCTGTCTCTCTCTGTCCCAAAAATAAATAAACGTTGAAAAAAAAAATAATTGACAAGTTCTTTTTTCTTTTTTCCAAATTGTTCTTTAATATAGTTGTATGTATTTTTATAACTGAAAAAAAATGAAACCTAACATTTCGCTAGTGATCTCAATACAAAAGGAGTCTAACAGAAAGGTTTTGTTTATTTTCAGTTATCTTCACAGGGGACAAAAGCTATTTATAAAGCATTTTTTGAGTTCCCATATGTCTACCATTCTATTGGCTATTTTTTTTAAGTAGGCTTCATGCTCAGAGAGAAGCCCAATGTGGGGCTTGAACTCGCGACCCTGAGATCAAGACCTGAGCTGAGATCAAGAGTCAGATGCTTAACCGACTAAGCCACCCAGGTGCCCCTCTACTGGCTATTTTTAAAGGGTATGTGCTGCCTTCCTTAAACTCATCCATTTTATTGAGAGAAGATTCCATCACAGTAATTGATAATAATACCATATATACAGTATTTAGACAATTTTCATTGTAATGAGTAAATGCTGAAGTAAAATCAAATAACAAATATTAAGATCTCAAAGAAAGCACTCACTCAGAGCTGACCAACATGGAGAGCAGGAAAATATAATGATTACTAGAAATTCATGAAATAGAAAGCAATGCACTATAAAGAAAACCAATTAAGCCTAAAGTTGTTTCTTTAAAAATTAAATAAATAAAGTTGACAGACATTCAGCACAACTGACCCAATAGAAAAAGGAAGGAAAGGAGGGAGAGAGAGAAAACCTAAATAATTAATACAGAAAATTAAAAAGGAGACATCAGTACAAATGTTATTATGGACAACTTTGTGGCAATAATTTTGACAACTTGGACATATTACTATAAACATAACTTATAAAAACTGGCAGAAGATTAAAATAATTTCATCAGTTCCAATCTTATTAAAGACATTTAATCTATGATTTTAAAATCCCGTATAAAGAAATCTCCAGGCCAAGTGGCATCATTAGTGATTTTCCCCCAACATTTAAGAAAAAAAATAGCACAATCTTACACAAAGTCTTCCAGACAAATGAACAAAGTGGGAATAGTTTTCAACTTATTGTATAATGTTCATTACCTCAACACCAAATCCTGACAGGAACATTATAAACAAGGAAAATTACAGGTCATTTCTCTTTTCGAAATAAGTTTAAAAATCCTCAACAGAATATTAGCAAATTAAATTCAAGTTTGGTTTATTCCAAGGTTGAAGATTAGCTTCACATCTGAACATCAATGAGCATAATTCACTACATTAAGAGAACAAAGGAGGGAAATCATATAATCACCTTGAGATAAAAATAAAATCATTTGATAAAATTCAACATTGACTCATGATGAAACCTCTTCACTAAGTAGGAACTTCTTTAATATAGACAGGCTTTGACAAATACTATACATTATACTTAATGCTAATATATATAATAATTCCTTCTGAGATAGAAAATGAGAAAGCTGTTCACCATTTCTGTGTTATATTGTTCAGGGGGGCTAACAAATGCAATAAGGTAAGAAGAAAGAAATAAAAGACCCAGAATAGGAAGAAAAGAACATAAACTGTCATCATTCATGCACAGCATGATTATATACTTAGAAAATCTAGAAGGATCAACTGATATACCAGATTAACTACTAGAAATTATGTTAATTTATAAAGTCTATAAAATGTAAGGTCCATATAAAAAGATTAACTGTATTTCTAGGTTGCAGAAACGGGTAGGGCTGAAATAAAATTTTAAATAGCATTTAAAATAGCATCAAAAACATCAAATGCACGGAAATAAATCTTTAAAAAATGCAGAAAACTATAAAATATTATTGAGACTTTATAAAGCCCTAAATAAAAGGAAGGACATATCATGTCCATCTGCAGTTCCTTTGGACAATTTGTAAGTTTTTTTGCAATTCTTGATATCTACCTGGGGACAGGGAAATCTAAACAAACATCATCTTTTTATAAAATAATGACAATTATGGCACAGCTTGTGAGATTACAGTTAAAAAAAGACAAAACTAGAATAGTGGACAATGAGAGTAAGAAATTCAAGATTGGGGGAGAGCAAACCTACAGCATTTCATTTTATTGCCCCAAAGAGGGTAATATTTTTGTTCAATTTTGCCATATTTAAATCAATATCATTTGTTTATCAAAGACACCCTTAAAGGAAGTGAAAAGACCAGTCACAATACAACGAAAGATTAGTATCAAGAATTTAATAACACTCCAAATCTAGGAATCTAGGGTGGAAGCAAAGAGACAGGATTTGACAAGGGCAAATAAGTAGATATCAGTTGCTATCAATATTATTAAATGAAATAAAAGAGGGCAACTCATGAACAAGTGATGAGAATGCATCATGACAAAAAATTAATCTATTAATCTAATTCTGGATTCCTGAGATCTAATATGAGTGCGTGTGTGTGTGTATATATATATATATATATATATATATATATATATGTGTGTGTGTGTGTGTATATATGTGTGTGTGTGTGTGTGTGTGTGTGTGTGTGTGTGTGTGTGTATCTATATATGATTGATTGAAAGGAAAAGGGACAGAAGTGATACAAATTTTTTGTTGCTTGTTTGTTTTAACTAGGAGAGTTGTAAGCTACCAGGAATAGGTATGAGCCCTAAAAACAAACTACTCTAAATAATATAAAAACCTTGTGGAATCAGACTTTCTTATATTTTCTGGTTTTACTATTTTTATGCTTTCCTGCTCGTTCAGCCAGGTTTTTAATCTTATCTTTTAATATTTAACTAGCATTTTTAGGTGTTCTGTACCCAAGTCTTTCCTCGCATAGTTGTTCACCGTGTTCTCAGAAACACATATGCGCACACACACACACACACACACACACACACACACATAGAGCTGTATTTTTTTCAGCTTTATTTTTTATTCAAAATGAAAACAGCATATTTAAGCTCCATGGGTGGAACTATTTATTCTAATAAATTAGATAAATTTCTTCATTAAATAGAAAAAAATAAATATGCAAATTGGTACCACTCTTAGAAAATAAAATGGTATCTTCACTCATAGTGAGTACTTCCTATGTGCCAAGAATGATTCTGGATCCAAGGGATTTAGTAGTGAATAAATCAGTCAATACTATCCGTCTTCATGGATTTTATATTCTATCAGGAGGAGGCAGACAAAGTCAGATAAATGAAAGAAGCAACATGTCCTGATATCTCAAATGCTAGAGGTCAAAGTAAAGCAAGTGACCTAACAGGGCTGGCAAGTATGGTTGCTGCTATAATAAACTGGCCAGGAATGGCCTTACTGGTAAGGAGGCATTTGGACAATGCCCAGAAGTGGCCAAAAGGTGATGCCTATGATATCTAAGGAAAGGAGCTTTCTAGACAAAGAGAACAACACCTACGGAGTTCCTGAGTTGGACATGTTAGGTTTGAAATGCCTGTTAAAAATTCAGGTAGACATGCTGATTAAGCAGTTGAATGTGAGATGGAGTTCAAGAGAATAACCAGGCTGGAGATATGTTTGGAGTTATCAGCACATAAACGATATTTAAAGCCACAGCTTGGATAAAATTATCAAGGGAATGAGTGTAGCTAGAGAAGAAATTCAAAAATTTAATGCCAGGCCTCTATTTTCACTAGGGTCCCAAGACTCTTAGTGGGATTTAAAAATATTGTTAGAGTTTAGAAGGTGATCTGGTGAATAGTAGTGCTCTTCAATGTCAGGTTTTGGAAATATTTCAAAGGTATAACTATTAGAGAATATATGTAGTATGATGGAAAGCAAAATCATTGAAGGAAAAGGGCTCAAGGAATGCAGAAGCCAATGAGTCAGAG